ATTTTGCTGGAAATATCGATGACAGAAAAGGATGGATACCAGTGAAGGTAGGGATCATGCAAAAGGATAGGAAGCCAGCGCCAGCATTAGATAGACACAGGGCAAAGCAGGGAGTCCAGAGCCAGAGAGAGGCACACACTGCTCAGGCCCATTGAAGGCCCTGGGGGTTTGCACTTCTCAGAAGGAACTCAGACACTGTCCTGGGTTTACCCCTGAGTTTTGCAGAGGGCAAAATACCAGTCCAAAGGCTGTTGCTGGAAAAGGATTTTTGTGATCAGCCCTTTGTTCTCTAGATAGCAATTATCACTCAGTAAATTAATTTAGATAGCATTTAATCAGCAAGAGATTTGTTTATCCAGAACCTTATTGTGGGTGGTTTTCAAGTTTCTGAGCTAGCAGATGTAGAATCTGTGGACACCGGGGATAACTTGATTAGGAAGACATTGGGAGCCAGTGAGTGTTGGGCATTAGGGGACTAGATATTTGGCTCTCAACTGCTGCCTGACCTGTGAAACAGCTGAACTGCGTGAGAGAAGGGCAGTGATGAGCTCGTGAGATCCCACACAAGAGAGCAATAGAGTGGCCAGCCAGGCATTTGAAGGTAAGTGTGTGTGTGTGTGTGTGTGTGTGTGTGTGTGTGTGTGAGCGTGCACGCATGCATGTATGACTACCACTACTGTATTCTCGTGTTTAAATTCTGAATTTAAAGTTCTTCAAGCATATGTAAGTTACAGACCAGGAAGAATCATTTTTTTTTCTATTTTGATTGTTTTTTTCTGTGTGTGCATGTGTGCACTAACAAATGTGCACTAATATATTACATGTGTGTGCAGATGCTTCTGGAGGCCAGGCCAACACTGGGTGTCTTCTGTCACTTTTTACACCATCCCTTTTTTGGAGCCAGGGTCTCAGCCTCCTTCTGATTGTGGAACTCACCGATTCAGCTAGACTGACTGGACTCACCTATCTATCTCCATCTCCCAGCATTGGGGTTAGTCACATACTCTCAGGATGAACACGGTAACACCTGTTTTAAATCTCACTACTCGGGAGACAGGTGCAGGGAGGTCTCTAAGAGTTCAAGGGCCCAGGGAAGGTTAGAAGAAACAACTAAGATCATCCCCTGGGGTTTATAAACAAGACATCTTCTTTACCTTGTGAACTTGCAGGGGCGTGGCCACCATTGCAGACAGCTCTTGGCCAGACTCTGGCTCCTTCTGGCTGAAGGTGACCCCTTTTGGCTTCCGGAGGATCTTGAACTGGCTGAAGGAAGAATACAACAACCCTCCAATTTATGTCACAGAGAATGGGGTGTCCAGACGAGGGGACCCAGAACTCAATGACACGGACAGGATCTACTACCTCCGCAGCTACATCAATGAAGCCCTCAAAGGTAAGAGCTTCCACCTCACTGCCTGGCCCCAGTGAGCCCCTTCTTTGCTGGAGCGTAGGTGTCTGCAGGACGGCAGTCTGGTCCCTCGGGGACACTAAAGACAAGACCCATTGCTTGGAGGAGTTTGAGCATTTGTTTGAAGCTAGAATCAGAGAGGTCTTTTCCTTCTTAGACTCACCTAGACACAGCAAGTAAACCCAGTTTCCTGAACTGGTCTGAGTTAGTTCCTGACCTGAGTCCTCTGCAATCCTTAGTCTTTCTTGCTGTTTGGCATCTCTGCACATTGCTTTCCTCTGTGAGCAGGCAAGAGTTGTCTGGTGGCTCTAGGGCCTTTTGTTTGCAAGGTAGAAGGACTGGGGTGGTAGCTCAGGTGGGAAAGTGCTCACTGTACAACCGTGAGCCCTGGGTTCAATCCCAGACACTGTGAGGAAAGCTGGGCATGGTGGTGGGTGCTTGTAATCCTGGCACTGGGGAGGGAGAAAATGGAGGATCCTTGGGTCTCTTTGGCTGGCAGCCTAGCCTACTTGTCTCAAAGAACAAAGTGGACACAGCTCCTGAGGCTCACCTCTGGCCTCTACATGCACCACACAGCACTCACATGGTCACATAGCTACAAACTATGTGTGTGACATATCTGTAAACCTCGGGCTCTCCTACAGTAAAGGGAACAGACAGGAGGTCTTACTACAGCTCAGATCTTTTGCTTCTAAATGCTCCTGCCTCTCCATGGGTATTTCAAGGTCCTGACTCAGACCAATCCCCCGAGCTACTGAAGAAAGCTCTGGGGTTAGCTCAGGCTATTCTAGTTCCATTCAGAACTGAGCCTTTCTAGAAAGATACCAATGGTCCCGCATGTCCACTGTAGAGGACCTGCTAGCACACAGGAAGGGTTCAGAGTTGGAACTCACACTCTACAAAGCACAACAGTGAGGACAACTATGAGCCCAGCTTCAGGAGGCCTGGCACACAGGTGTCTTCATGTGAGTGTTCACACCCAGCATCTGTTTTAGCCGCTGTGCAGGATAAGGTGGACCTTCGAGGATACACGGTATGGAGCGTGATGGACAACTTCGAATGGGCCATAGGCTTTGCAGAAAGGTTTGGTGTGCACTTTGTGAACCGCTCAGACCCTTCTCTGCCAAGGATCCCCAAGGCATCAGCCAAGTTCTATGCCTCTGTAGTGCGCTGCAATGGCTTTCCTGACCCTGCACAAGGACCTCACCCTTGTCTCCAGCAACCAGAGGGTAGGTGGCGCTGGGAGGGACCAACACTGTGTGGTAAAGGGTGAGAGGAAGCTGTCCTTTCCACCTGCCTTCCTCTAGTTCCTGGCCTTCTCCTGCCCTTCTGTCCCCTCCTTTCATTAGCATGCACTCCAGGTACCTTTAGGCTGCTGCAGGTCTCTCCAGAGCCTGTCTTACCATAGAGACTGGGCCCTGCTGTGGGAATGAGCAGAGGTAGATTCCTCCAGTCCTACCTCTAACTCACTGCAGCACCTTTCTTGAGAAGGAGAGACACTTCCAGGTCGTTCTAGGTCAAGTTAGAGGACTGTATAAACACTACGGGTAGTACTTGTGGGGTGACTAAAATATATAATTGACTATGATAATAAAAGACCTTTATCCAGTTCATGCTGTAGTTTAGTTGCTTAAAGTGATGCTTGAGACAGGGTTGGGGATACGTCCCAGTTGATGAAGAGCTTACCTAGCATGCTCATGGTGATGGGAGTCAATACACATCGTTACACAAACGGGATACAGTAGCATAGCCGTGTACTCTGAGCATGTAAGAGGTAGAGGCAGTAGAATTTGAATTTCAACATCATTTATGGCTAACTTCCTAGCCTGAGGCCTGTCGGGGCTACATGAGACTGGTCTCAGGGGAAAATGCATATGTGAGGGGGAGGCACAGTATGATGGCTCATGGCTCAGTAGGTAAAAGCACTATAGCCTGCGTTCTATATTGGAAACCCAAATTGGGAAGAGAGACTTCCTGAAAGTTGTCCTTTGCCCCTACATGAACATCGTGGTATATGCACACACAAAAACAACACAATAATGAAGGGAACCCACGCTGACCACACAGAGGTGAGCATTTGTTGTGTATGTTTATGAGGGGGATACTATGCCACCTCTGGACTGCAAGATCAGCGGGACTCTCCAGAGCTGTGGCAGTCTGGTAGCTAACAGTGCCAGAGCCTGAGCTGTCCTCGCCTAGATGCTGAATCCACTGCCAGCCCTGTGAAGGCAGAAGTAGCTCCTCTGTTGTGCAGAGAAGCCCTGTGCCCTGTGCCCGCTAACACAGACTCCTGACCACAATTGATCTCTTCATCAAGGCTTCCTGCACTGTGGGAGATGGTTTCTATCTTGAAGCTTTCTAAGTTCTCAGTTGAAATGAAAAAGCATCTTCTTCAGTACTGGCAATTTTCCACAGACTCAGCCCTAGAGAAGGAACTAGAGTGAAAACTCCAACCCAGGAAAGTTAACTGCATCCATGAAAACACAGCCAACTTTCTAATCTTAACCTTGAAGTTATGAGGACCATACTGTACATACAAAGCTTATTCCTTTTTTAAAATTTTATTGATTTTTATTGAGCTCTACATTTTTCTCTACTCCCCTCCCTGCCTCTCCCTTCCCCTTCTACCCTCTCCCAAGGTCCCCTTGCTCCCAATTTACTCAGGAGATCTTGTTTTTTCTACTTTCCGTGTAGATTAGATCTATGTATGTCTCTCTTAGGGTCCTCATTGTTGTCTAGGTTCTCTGGGATTGTGATTTGTAGACTGGTTTTCTTTGCTTTGTGTTAAAAAAAAAACACTTATGAGTGAGTACATGTGATAATTGTCTTTCTGGGTCTGGATTGCCCCACTCAAAATGATGTTTTCTAGCTCCATCCATTTCCTGCAAAATTCAAGATGTCGTTATTTTTTTCTGCTATGTAGTACTTCATTGTGTAAATGTACATTTTCCTTATCCATTTTTTGGTTGAGGGACATTCAGGTTGTTTCCCGGTTCTGGCTATACGAAACTTATTCCAAAAGGATGATTTATAACCAGGATTCATTAGACTCAGGACTAAGAGAATAAATAGTACTAGAAATTACTCCTATCTTAATTCTTTGTCATCAAATTTCATGTGCAGTTAGATTTTGAGTAAGCCCACGGTTTTAAAGTAAATTCCTGATCTTTTGTATTGGCAAACAGAGAAAGTAGATTAGCTAGACACTAATCGACCATCAGAAAACAAAGAGAAGCCACTTCCTTTCCAGGACAGTCAAGTCCTCAGATCAACAACTAGGAGACCACTGGCTTTTTCACTGCTCTTGTTAATTAAGCATGCTAAAGGAACGTTCCTAAGTCTGCCGCACACTGTCATCACGTATACTACTCCAGCCACCTCAGTCTATTTCCTGCCATTCTTCTGCTTTGGAACCTCTCCTGCAAGATTTTAATAACCTACACATCTGTCTTTATGAACTCACCTGTGCAGCGAACTGCCTTGCTTCTTCTAACGGAGCATCAGAAGGAAACTGACTCGTGAAGGAAGAGCCGTCAGGCAGCCGGAACTGAATTCTTGCAATAGTGCTAAGAAAAAAGTCAAGCTGTAGTCAGCACCTTCACCTACAGATTCTCAAGCAGTGTCGTTCACCACCAGGTGAAGGCCACTGAGGCCAGGACACTTGCTCCCCAGCTTGATGATATAACCTTGCTCCCATGGTGAAAGGAGAGAACCCTTAAGCTGACATCTGACCTCCATGCATGCACCATGGCATGCTGCTCCCACACCCATAAATAGTTCGTTCTTTCCTTCCTTCCATCCTTTGCTTCTTTTTGATCTTTCTTTCTCCTTAAATTCAGTTGAGAGTAGAAATGATGTTTTGCGGTGGGCAAGATGGCTCAGCAGGTAAAGTATTTGCCATGCAAGCCTGTCAACCTGCAATCCTATCACAGGAGGATCCCAGGTTAGAGGCAAGCCTGGGCTATGTGTCCAGTGAAACCTGGTCTCAAAAAAACAAAACAAAACAAGGGCCTGGTGAGATGACTTAAGTTCAACCCCTAAGACGACCCTTCCTCCACAAAGGAGAGAACTAATTCCTAAAAGTTGTTGTTTACATTCACATGGACTCCATGGAACACACACAACACCCATCCCAGGGCCAAAATAAATGTTAAACTTCTTTTAAACCCACAGAAATAAAATACTATACAGAACCATGTAGCCATCACAGAAAACCGTAGAATATTTCATGACTTCCTAAAATACCCCTGAGCCTATTAGCAATCACTCCCTTTCCTCTCCCAGTCCTTAGCAACCATTAACTGGTTTGCCCAGTTGGACCCTTTCATCCAGAGGAATCGTGTGTGATCTTTCATATAGCATTGTGTCTTCAAAAGTTGTCCAATGCTCTCTCTGAGTTTGGTTCCAAGCCACCAGGGTTGGGAGCTGCCTTGACTGTAGCTTCAAGGCACCCAACCAACATCATCTTTCACCCCTTGGAAGTTGCTTTTGAGGTTAAAAGAAGAGAGAGGTTTAATTTGTATGTGTCCGTGGAGAGCATATGCAAACATGTATGCATGCACACATTCACAGAAGGCAGAAGAAGGCACGGGGTGTCTTCTGTCACTCTCCACCTAGTCCTTTGAATCTGGGGCTTATGCTGTCTCAGCTAGCCTGAAAGTCAGCCAGTGCTAGCCATCCTCCTGTCTGCTCCATGATTGGAGCTGGGTTAGACATTTGGTGGACTCCAGGTTTGTTACATGAGTGCTGGGATCTAAACTCAGATCCTTATGACCACACAGTGAGCATTCATTTATGTTTTATTTTATTTATTTGTTGTTTTGTTTGTTTTTGAAGACAGGGTTTCTCTACAAAACTGTCCTGGCTGTCATGGAGCTCACTCTGTAGACCAGGCTGGGCTCAAACTCACAGAGATCCACCTGCTTCTGTCTCTTGAGTGCTAGGATGCTTATGGCATGTTCCACCACTGGCAGTGAGCATTCTTAATTGATGAGCCATCTTTCCAGCTCTAAGCATGACCATATAAATACTATGACTTCTGAGGATGGAAAAAGAGTATTTGCCTATGCATTTAGGTTTTAATTCTTTCAATAATCTTTTTTTACTTTTTACTCTAAAAGAGTTATACTTTTATTAAATCTTTTATTAAATTTATCAATTGTTCATTGCAATTTCTTTCTTTTTATTGTTTTTGTTTTTATTCATTTATTTATTTATTTTGTTTTTCGAGACAGGGTTTCTCTGTACCTTTGGAGCCTATATTGGAACTAGTTCATGTCGACCAGGCTGGCCTCGAACGCACAGAGATCCACCTGCCTCTGCCTCTAGAGTGCTGGGATTAAAGGCATGCCCCAGCACTGCCTGGTCAAAAATTTATTGCAATTTCTAATAAATTTTAATTATCACCATTTTTTGAGATTTGTTGTGTTTTTATTTATGTATATGTGTCAGTGTGTGTCTGTGTGAATGTATGCCAGTAATATAGGCGCCCTTGGAAACAGGAAGACGGTGTTAGATCCTCTGGAGCAAGAGTTGCTACAGGTGGTTTCAAGCTACTTGATGTGGGTGTTAGGAACTGAACTCAGGTTCTCTGCCAGATCAGCAAATGCTCTCACCCAGCCTCTGAGCCATTTCCCTAACCCTTCTGAGAAATCAAAAGTTTAAAAACGTGTATCTTTGAGACAGGGTCTCACCCTGTAGTCCTGGCCAGCCTGGAACTCACTATGTAGTGCAGGCTAGCCTCAAACTCAGAGCTCTGTCTGCCTTCCAAGTGCACCACCACACGAGATCACAATATTTGATTATGAAAGTTAGCAATTGTCCAATATCAAAAAATACCTAAATCCTAATCAGGAGCTAGGCTTGGTGGTCCATGCCTTTTAACCCAGCAGTTTGGAGGCAGAGGCAGGTAGATCTCTGTGACTTGAAGGCCAGGCTGGTCTACATAAACAATTTCAGGTTAGCAAGAGCAACACAGGGAGATTCTATTCAAAATAAACAATAAAAATAAATAAGAGAAACACTAACCAGCATAAGGCACACGTCACATAGTGTGACGTTTATAAAGTCAAGGAATAAACACTGTACATAAAATTCCTTAGGTTCATATGCAGACTTTACACATTTAAGATTTGAGATTTTTGTTTTGTTGCTTTCTTCATTTAGGCAACTATCAAGAATCTGAGTTGTTATACAAAAACAGATGGACTGGCTCCATAGCCGGGAACAAAGTCTGGCACAAAACTGGTGTTCAGTGAGTGTTTGTTGAAAGTCTAGAGAGGGTGGCACACACCTTTAATCCCAGTCCCTAGGAAACAGAAACGCGTGGACCTCTGTGAGTTCATCCTGGTCTACAGAGCAAGTTCCAGGACAGTCTCCAAGTTACACAGAGAAAC